TTTTTTAAATTTTTAAAAATCAATCCTCTTTAAATCAAACTTAGCACATTTTCAATCAAAGTTAGCACCCAAGGCAATGAAGAAATTGAGTAACGAAAACAAGTCCTCCGTGCTTTATTAATTTTGTACATGCAACAGTTACCATTTGTAGTGGTGCAACCCAGTAGATTTTAATTCTGTGAATAGGCTGATAATGTTGCTCACATATTTTATTTTATTTTAGCCTTAAAAGGACCCAAGGCGGCTTACAGCATTAAAAAGACAATATTTAAAAGCTAAGGATAGTAAATATACAAATATTTAAAAAGAATTAAACAAGCCTCATATTAAAATGGTAAATAAAATCAATACTAAAAACACATTTAAAAGCAACAAAGTACTACAAACTAGTTTTTTTTTTAAAAAAAAAAACTATCTCAGGTGTCACTGCCAGTCACTTAGGGAAAACCAGATGAAAATGTCGATTTCATAAGGCTGAACTAGAACAGAAATTAAATACGCATTTATATCAAATTCTGGAACCTGGGAATTCTGAGAACAAGCTGGCATTTACTTTTCAAGTAGAATACCATTAAGCTTTTTAAAATTTAGATATAAAATATGCAGACATTTAATATCACATCTAATTGTGCCAAAAGACCACACTGTCTTGTATATACGTACTAAAATGATTGAGACCAGCTCTGTTAAATCTGTGCATTCAATGAGAATTCATGACTGATAGCTATTGTTTTTGTATGTATAAATGCACTCAATGATCCCCTAAAAATAATTAAAAGAAAACCAAAATAAAATATCAATCGTATATATTTATAGAAGATGGGATTATTAAAAAAGGATGCTTTCTCCAAGACATACCTAGCCCTTTTTACCTTCATTTTTTTTAAAAAAACCTGAAGTACTTTATTTTATTCCCTTATTGTTCAACTTATAGTTGCATTCAAAGCCTGATGACGATAAAATGGTAATAGCTGATCTCTGCTTATAAATGAAGCCAAGTGAAGTTAATCAAAAGGATAAAATAAACATTCTGCCCGAGTTGATGTTTCCATAAAGAGACAGTTGTTAAGAAGCAGATTATCCCAAATGCTTAGGAACTACATTAAATATTTTATTTTACCTATTTATTCAGATTTTATAGAACTTTCTCAGAGTTCATGGCACTATGTATTGTTATTTCTATGTGCTGTGTGATGACAATCAGTCATCTGCTGTTATTGAATCATATGAAATGCACTAAACAATTGAAAAGCTGTACAGGAACTGCAAGTGGGTATTCTTGGACCATTGCTGGGAATAGATAATCTCTCTGCAGATGTAATTCATAATAGATGGAAATGGACAATAAACTGATAAGGGAGTCAGTATAATTTAGCAGGTAATTATTATATTGTGTCATGCTGTCCCTCAATAATTGTTCTTTTAATGGCTGAGAAAGTATCGATACTACAAAGTTGTAATAGCCTCAGACCAAGTCAAATGGCTCCATACTGAGGAATTCTGGGATTTGTAGTTTGATGAGAGAAATCTCTGTTGTAGTTTGGTGGAGTGTGCTGGAGCTGTCTAACTAAGAACACTTAAGTACCTCTTCAGTTGCAGAAGGTCTTAAGATGGAATCATGACAATTAAAATTGTCAAAACATCACAGAACGGTTGAAATCCTGTTGTGCAGTGCAATGGTGATGATGTCACCAGTAGCACCAAATCATGCCTGATTAAAGATTTCCTTTGACAGTTTAAGGGTGCACATGTCTTTGATGCACCGTGTAGGAGTTTCATGTGCAGCTCAAAACTGCCATTAATCAGAAGCAATTTCCCACTGGTGATGACATCATCATGGTTCCTCATGTGGAGCTGTACAACAGGATTTCAACCGATATGTTTCATCCACAAAGTAGATTTTTCCAAATCACTGTAGTCTTAACGGGAAAACATGCTTCAGAAAAGAAATGTTGACTAGTGCAGAAGCCATATGTTATCCATCCCACCCATTAAATAAATTCCTAGGAAAGTGTACATTAAAAAACCTGAAGATTCAGATATTGGCTCAGATCTTTCCTACTGAAGCTGGTGTAGCAGAAACAGAATAACATTTGGAGATGAATTACCCTAAGTTATGAAATCGCCATAGTTATTATGAGCTGCATATGTGACTTGGTGTGCTACTAATAACGTTTATGTTAACTTCTTAACTTGGAACAATTTGCATCCTAAAGTTACTCTGTTTGCATAACTACTGGAGAGGATTTGGGCTAGTTATGACTAAAAGCAGAAGAATCCAAAAATTTCAGTGATCAAATAATTACTTTACAGTGATAAAACAAATTAGATATAAAGTCTTGGGAAATACACAGGTCTTTGTACTAGTGTAAGTATTGCCTTCCTTGTGAATATTTTAAAATGTGAATACTACAGTGATTTATTCTTAGTATTTTAACCTAAATTATCCCACAATTCCTTTTGCATTTGGTGCAATGGAAGTCGGCAATGAAAACTGAATGGCAAATGCAAATGGCAAATGTGAAAGTTTGCAAAAAAAAATCATCTTATAAACTGCCTCTTGGGTTATGCAAATATCTGATAGTTAACTTTCCCTTGATGATACTAATGGCAGTAAAAAAAATTCTCTGACATCTTTCCCTTTGCCCTTGAAATAATTTAAAAAAAATCTGAATTAATCCTCGAGGCCCCAAACAAACATAGATGGTATTTGCCCAGAGAAACTTTCATTGTCTAATGCAGTGGTTCTTAACCTTTGTTACTCAGATGCTTTTGAACTGCAACTCCCAGAAACCCCAGTCAGCACAGCTTGTGGTGAAGGCTTCTGGGAGTTGCAGTCCAAAACTCCTGAGTAACCGAAGGTTAAGAACCAGTGGTCTAATGTATAGTTGTTTTCCTTTGAATATGTGTTCTCTGCCTTTCAAAAGGCAACAGAAAGATGGGATCTATTTAACAAGTGGACTGAATTAACAGGCGGCGGCTGAATAACATATATTGAAATGAGAACTTTATTTACAAGGCAGAAAAGAGTAAACAGAATAACTTAAAATCTTGATACGGCAATAGGTATAGATTGGACATCAGTATGTTATTGTCTCCCCTCTTCCTCTTCAATTCCAATTCCCTTTTTCCTTTTTGTCACCCCTTATGTTAAAAAATAAAAAAAATGGAGAAAAAAATATGTGTTCTCTGCCTTTCAATCAAATGATTTTTCAAGGTAGCTTACAACCAGCATGTCATGCAGAGTCCCCAGGTAAAAAATGCAATGTTTTAAGCAAAATTTAGCTGACCCTTTGTGGGGGTACCATTCCCAAGGTTGCTAAGCCACATGGGTGTTCTAGTGAGGGAAAACTCTCCTAGCATCCTGTGGCTGCTTCTGAGGGGAGAAGCTGCCACCATTTCTCCTCTTTTCCATTATCATAGAGAGCTTGCTATAGAGGCCTTTCCTTAGGCCAATCAGAGGGCTTGATTAATTGCCTTTTTCCCGACCAACCCTGATGTAACCATTGTCCTATCTGAACCCTATTTACTATCTGTAATGCTGTCACTACCTGTCTCCTGGGGGCAGGGCAGACCGAGAGAGATGGAGACCGACAGGAGAGAGAGACGGAGTAGACTTCTCATTCTGCTTCCTTGCTGAGTCGCCCACCAGGAGTACTGCTGGCAGACATCCATCTGTGTGTGTGGCTGACGTCTTTAATCTATTACTAAGAAACTCTTTGCTATCCATTATCTGGTGATCACCACAAAGCCCATCAGCCTGCTCATTGCCTGAACCCAACAACCCTTGTTTTGCAAGATGTCGGGTGACACAGGCGTCTCATTGGAGTCATTGGTCAGGCAATAACATTATTGATCTAGATGAGTATTATTGGTACAGAAGATGTAAATACCATTAACCGGAATGTTCTTGATTCTAGGAGTTAAAAGAGTACCAAAGTGCTTCTTTGTAAGGTTTTCACATCCAGTCTCACTGTATTTGTGGTACCTTTCAGCCATTCTTGATTGTTGCACTGGATTTGCCATCCTCTCTAGATTATGAATCACCCTTGCTCTCTGCTTTGAGCTACCTGAAGCTTCTGTAACTTTAACACAATCTTGTGAGCCTTCATATTGATTTGCTATGAATTAAGACATATTTTAAGGGACGTGGTGGCGCTGTGGGTTGAACCGCAAAAGCCTCTGGGCTGCAAGGTCAAAAGATCAGCAGTTTGAATCCACACAATGGAGTGAGCTCCCATCGCTTGTCCCAGCTCCTGCCAACCTAGCAGTTCAAAATCATTTAAAAATGTGAATAGATAAATAGGTACCACGATGGGAGGAAGGTAATGGCATTCCATGTCTAGTCGCGCTGGCCAGATGACCACGAAAACTGTCTACAGACAAACGCTGGCTCTATGGCTTGGAAACAGGGATAAGCACTGCCTCCTAGAGTTGGACACAACTGGACAATTTGTCAAGGGGAACCTTTACCTTTACCTAAGACATATTTTAATATTTTAAAACTGTAGATAAGAAATGTTTGCCTTTGAACAGAGTCTGCAAGTCCTAAGCTTATTACTAGAAATGAAGTCTCATTAAGCAGAATGGGATTTTCTTCCAAGTAGACATAGTTAGGACTTACCTCTCTAAGTGAGGGGTATGTATTAGTAAGAACTGTGTAATAAAATAATAAGCAATCGCAATGGGGTAAGGTGTTTCTCACTGACTTAAATTTCTTTCCCCAAGGGTATAGCAAAACCTGAACTTCTGACCAATAGCTTGAGATACAAATGTCGGTCATTGTTTCTTAGGGAATGCCCTTGAGTGTGCATGAATATGTATTGTATAAGATACGTTAGAAGCAGCACTAAAATTATGTTATAATGAAATCTGTTTGAGAGACTATTCCTGCTTTCACAGTTGAGGGCAGTTCTGTCAGGGGTGAGGGGGAGTGGAATATCAGCAAGTTGGATGTAGACTGACCTTTTTCTGATGAAGGAAACTTTCTTCCATCACAGGAAACACCTATTAAAGACAGTCCCTCATTTTAGAACCACGCCATACCTGAGCGATAGATGAATGGCAAATTCTAGACTGCCATATATCTGATAAAATCAGTGTGAAGTCAGTAATAGTGAACTTCCATAGAGCTTCAAAGGTAAGCCATTCTAGCTAAGAACTGTATACCTGCTTTTTATGCTCTCTCAATGGTGCTAGGAAACAGCAAACCGGGAACTAAAATTACGATCCTTTGCGAAATTTTCTCATCATGAAGAGGGGTAGATAACCATTCCATTTCCCCCTAAATATGTGAACTGCAATGCCTTAGAGTTGCAACCTAAAATTGCACATAGAGTGAAAAGCTATTCTAGACAAGGAAAAAACTTTTACTATCCTAATTGCGCTATAATTAACCACTGCATAGGCAATAGCACAAAAGATAATACAGTGATGCCTCACAAGACGAATGCCTCGCGCAACAAAAACCCCACAAGATGAAAGCGTTTTGTGAGTTTTTCAGTGACTTACAAGACGTGTCATCTTGCAAAAAAATTCATTTTGCGAGGCACAGTTTCCCATAGAAATGCATTGAAATTGCATTCCTATGGGCGAAAAAAGTCAGGTAGCTCCGGAGACCAAGGAGCTCCGGAGACCAAGGAGCATCTGTAACATCGGCCCAGAATGCCGCCCACCCGCATTGCATTCATCTGCCTCTTTGGCGCACACCGGGGGGCTTCTCCCCAGATGTTTGAGTCTGGCTGTTTTTATTGGATCCTGATGCTGTTTCCACCTAAGGTGTGAGAGCAGAGTGCCGAACAGCTGAGAGGTGGCAACCCTCTCAGGGTTTATTATTAATAAAATGCCCCCTTCACCCGCCTCTCAGCTGGTTGCCGCCTCTCAGCTCTGCTCACACATATCACTTAGGAGGAAACACTGCCAGGATCCAATAGAACAACTGGACTCAAACATCCAGGGAGAAGCCTTGTGTGTGGCAAAGAGGTGGAGGCGGATGAATGCAGTGGGCGGAGGGGGGGCAACGTTCTGGGCCATTGTTACAGACACTCTTTGGCCTCCGGGGCTACCTGGTAAGTGACTTTTTTCACCCATAGGAATGCATTAATTAAATTTCAGTGCATTCCTATGGGAAACCGTGCCTCACAAGATGAAAATTTCACAAGACGACACGACTCGTGGAATGAATTATTTTTGTCTTGCGAGGCATCCCTGTATTTGCACATGTTGTTGCGTATGCACGGTGGAAATTGTGTGGGATTTCTTGCCCATGTGCTAAGGAATTTATTTGCTCTAGCAAAACAGACTTTGTACAACTGCAGTGAGATCCTTGAACCTAGGGCTTCATGGTCATGACACAGAGATCCTATATTTTCATTGAGATTTAATTACAAGTAAGAGTGCATCCTATTGAGAACATTTTAAAAATAAACCTCACTGAACATTAAATTCCTTTAGAGAAAAAAAAATTCAGCCTTGATGTAACCAGCAGAAAAAAAAGCAATACGACTATATTAATACCACATGCCAAGGAACACTGTCATTAAAAAACAGATGAGTAGAACAAAACGTTCCGCCATTTGGCATAAGTTTTAGAATTGGAGAAACGGCTGTGATTCAAAAACACAGATACATCAGTAATCCGGGGTGGGGGGGAAATAACACTTAAGCATAGGAACATTCTGTATAGAAGACCGTTGTCTTCTATTAGCATTTTACACACAGTGGTGTAGGATTTTAATATGAAATCTTCACATTGTTGGGCATACAGTTCACATTAAATGTGTATAGCTCTACTTGAAGATACATTTTGTACTTTTCTTGTCATCTGTTCATATCTATAAAATGTGCAACATTTTAATTCCTCCTGCTGTGATACTTATTATTAACTACAGAATAGTGGGAAGAGTACTCCTTGAATAAACAGACCGGGACAATAAATGTGGCAGATTTCAATCGTTATTTGACACATCCAAATGTGATAAAACAGTGGATTTACCTGGCTAATTTTCCTACCAGATTTTGATGATTAACTTGGGGTCAGTTTTGTATTTCATTCAGCCATTTTATGAGTGGGATCCAAGCAGAATTGGGATTTATTAATTCTCCAATGCATTCTTTACTATGATGTGAAGACACTCTTTGTCCTCCATCACAGTTTGAAGACAAGGATGGAAGGGTATTAAATTAAATGCTGATGTGCACAATCTGGCCAAGCTTATCCTCTTTGGAGGTGCTCTTGATTTTCAACTGGAAATTTCTATGTCTGTATTTGCCTTTCTCCTGTCAAAATGAATAGACTTCACAATGGTACTGACCACTGAATCTTGTGTGTCTTTCCTCGTATACATGAGGGATGTGTATGCAAGTCCTGCTGATCAGTTTGTAAACATGTCTACCCAAATATTAACTCTACTACTTAGCATGGCTTCAGGTAAAGATGTATAAAATTGCAGTTTTTAGTAATGATGAATTTTAGCTGGATTGGAATCCTCAGTGCCTTATATTGAAGGAAGATCAGCAACCGCTACAGCAAATGAGCACATTGTAGGGGATTGTATATTAGATAATGAAGAATTCATGAATAAGCAAAATTAAAGAATACATTTCAAGGGTACACCTGAAAGGAGGTTTTTCCTGATAATTATATGATTATACACAGGTTTATCAGGCAGGAATTTGATCCCATGTTGCTCTGTATGCCGCTCCAAGGCATGAATATAACATTCAAATTTATTAAAAAAATCTTTTGTGACTGATGGCAATCTAAAAAATGATTTCCACTGGTAGAATTGCACAGGGCTAGAACCTATCCCTTCACCCTTTCCACAATGAAATAACAAGAAAAAATAAGGGCCATTTACAATGTTTTATATATCATTAACTTATATTACTGTCCTAATCTGTACGTTAAGATCTCAGGTCAGGATACGATCCACAAAATGATTTAAAACAATGTAAAGGAATTTGACAAAAAAAGCACACTAGAATGTTAGTTAAGTCCCAGAGTACCAGTACCAGGCCATATGGCTAGTAAGGCTCAAGTGCCTGGGTAAACAGCCAAGGTTGAACTCAGTGCCATAGTAAGCTTGACATCCATGCCAACTGAGTATCCATGGAGAGGGAGTATACCAATACTAGGATGCTGTACCTGAGAAGGTCCTCTTCATTTTCTTCATTTTGTATAATTACAGTGATCAGGCAGCAATAGACAGGGAGTAAAGCTAGGAAATAACAGGCTACAAGTAATGGCATCACCTACAACATATTACTTTTTGGGGTAAAGACTGCATTTTTTGAGGAATAAATTACAACCTTTAACATCATTAATACCTTTTTAAAAATGCAGTGAGTAATGTTTACTGGTTCTCTCTAAAACATGTCATTTTAGCAGATTTTTGCCCACTTTTCCATTTTTAATTATGTTTTCATAAAATGGTTTTAAATAGTGTGTTGGTAATATCCTCAAAAATATAATATACCTGAAGTATATTCATTTTTTCAAGCAGCAATGCTAATGCCCCATCCTGTGATAGGAAGACATGTATCCTCTAGTATCAGGTATACGAGCAATTCAGGGCTTGGAAAGTCATCACCGTGGCCTGAATTCAGACCAGAAGCATATTAGCACCCAGTATAATTCTTCTGAAACTGGTATTGTATGGCTTCTATATGAAAGGCATGACAGCCAGCTACCTGCCACATTGTGTTGTAGTGGTAACCTCTATGTCATTAACAATTGCACAGTCTAAACCAGAAATACTGAAGAATGTAAATTGTCTGTGGATATCATTGCTGGAAATAATTGTAACCTGTCCTGGAATTGCAAAAATTATTGACAATATTTGCTCGAGAAAATAAAAGTGCAAGTAGCAAAAAGACAAAAAAAAGTTTTAGAATAAATTGTTCGTTTAGATCTGTAGTACTGTGTGGGCAAAATTGGACTGAAATCATAGAGGTTTTTTTTTAAAAAAATGAAAACATTGGGGCGAAGAAGAAAATTGTTGAAAGATGGGATGGAAATTACAGCCTTTGATGTGTGTTTGAAGAGCCTTTTATGAAGCATCACCCTGAGTGGGTAGCAAATATTTTTCAGCTTCTTCTTTAAAGTGCTTGTGAGAGTCTAAAGAGAGCACAAGACAGAAATACAGCAGACTTTGAAAGCCTAACTCTATACTGGCCTTTCCTGGCTTTTAGAAAGCATATATAATTGCCTGTAGTATAAAATAGGATTGTTACAGAAGGATGTAATATTTTGCATTGTCTTATTGACCTATATGACAACTACATTCTGTTTCATTGTTCCAAAGCTGGAACTACCTTCCTATACACACTTGTGAATTAATAGAGCACATAAGGGATTTTTCAAAAAAAAGAAATAGACCCTAACATGTATTCGCGAAGGCTTTCACGGCCGGGATCTAATGGTTGTTGTGGGTTTTTCGGGCTCTTGGCCGTGTTCTGAAGGTTGTTCTTCCTGACATTTCACCAGTCTCTGTTGCCGGCATCTTCAGAGGACAGCACTCTGTGCTCTGGTATAGTTGGCTTGGGAGTGCAGTATTTATGGCTGTGAGATGCTGGAAAACCCGAAAAACCCACAACAATCATTAGACCCTAACATGCTTAGGCCCAACATATCTTATGCCCCATTGAAATGATTAGGACAATTAATACCATTCATCCTACAGGTGATGGCAAAGAGTTAGTAGTATAGTAGTTATCCCAAGGTTACAGAAATCCCTGAATCTGATAGATTCCAAAGATGGGCCTTTTCCACATATATTTCCATTGGATAGGATTTGGAGTTAAACCTACAGACTGATTTTGAGTTGTTTTTAATTAACTTTTAAAATGTTATTCAATTGGATCTCAATCTGCTGGTCTGAAAATGGAAGGACTCCTTCTGTTTGCAAGAGAAATTTGGGCCCGACACTACATATCAGAAATTGGGAGGCAGTTTTTGCTGATTCCCTCTCCATTCTCTTCCCTATCTCCTCTCCCATACTGCCGGAACAGATTTCTAAAAGCATACCCTGCAAGGAGATGGGGAAATCGGCAAAAAAAGAAACTCCCTCCCTTTCATCCACAGGAGGATCATGTTGACAAAGTTCTGCTCTGGAAAATCCTGGATTCTGCTTAGTGTCC